GAGTATATTCCCTCAAAACTAAATATACAGCCTGTTTATCTTTGGATGGAGACTAATTTTATTGAGAAATATTTTATTACAAAAATAGTTTAAAAAATATTATATAAAAAATTTAAATTTTTTTTTAAAGTATTAACACTTCTCAAGTACTTGATAGATGGGACTATCTCCAAGCCTATTTTTGCTTCCCTTGGACTGGCCATACAAATGGGATATTTCATAGTTAATAATGCCCATATAAGAATTTTTCTATTTTTAATAGCTCTGTATAAGTGTTTATAGCATTTTATTGTAATTTTTAGTAATAGTTAGCTTCATGGTTTAATTGTTCTAGACTGAGGGAGAAGCATAATTTTTTCTAGCTAGAGCTATAAGTATAGTTTCTTTAGTTTCTCTTTGGCTACCTGGTAGCCCTTCTTCTAAGAAATTTCGTAATCCCTTTGCTTTATTAATGAATTTCGATATTCACCATAAGGAAAAAAAGGGGGGGAAAAAAAAGAGAGGTAGTGTTATAGGACAATTTTTTTATATTATTTTTTGATATAATTTTTATATGTTATTAAATGAGTTGATGTATTTAATGTCATGAGTCTCAAATAAATAAAAAGAATCAATTATTTAAATGACATATAAAATTATACAAAAAATGAGACAAAAAGATTATTCCAATATTATTTTTTTTTTAAAAAAAGAGTGAGAATTATGAACATTTCCACTAAAGCTGAATAGCAACATAATAGTCTGATTCCTCCAAAAAAATTGGTGAAGCCCTTTTAAATATGGACAAGTTCACTCAATACTTGAAAATTATAAACTTAAGATGAGATTAATTAGAGGATTTAGATAAGAAACTTGGGAATGGGGTAAAGGGTGCAGGTCTGTAGACACACTATTCTTATAGCACCATCTAATGAGGAATGAGTTGTGGGACATATTTTTTGCATTTACAAAATAGCTTTTGAAATTGATTTTGAATTGTTTGAATTTCTAAGAAGGTGAAAAAATATGCAATTAGAAAGTTTTTAAACTTAATGGTGGATAATAAGCAGTGATGCAAATTAATTAATGATTTTCTTAAATTAATGAATGATTTGGTACGTGAATAAAAATTGTGTTGGGAAGAAACTTTTCATGCAGAATACTTAATTAAGATGCTCCTAGACTCTTGGAATGATTATAAAAATAGTATGAAATATAAAAGGGAGAAAATGTGTCTTTATGATGTAATTGAGCACATCATAATTGAGATGCAAAATTGCATCAAAGATAAGAAAACAAAGCATGTCACCATGTTTGCTTCTCTTGCTGGTACCATAGTCTTTATGGTTGGTATAATTAAATAATAGTGAACAATTGTTTTTTTTTTTTTTTTTCTTTTTTGCTGTCACAATACACACTCGATGGATCCATTTGTATGTAAATGGAAGTGAGGCTGCTTCTTAAGAAGACTACTCAATTCTTACGGGCTCTCTCCTGAATATCCAAGTAAGGCACATGACTCACTCTAGTCAACTTTGTGAATCACTAAACTTAAACTTGAAGAATTTAATATGTATAATGAGTCATAATTTTTTTTTAAAAAATATTGTGATACATAAGAATTTATTCCATTAAATTCTAGTGGATCATATTCATTACTAGATTTTTGGTTCATAGGCAAGAAGGTAATTAATCAAAAATTAGATTTATATGGTCGAAAAGGAATACTCAAGATTTTTTTTATTTATTTTTATTTTTAACATCCATATTAGAAACTATTTTTGGGGGATTAACATGTTAGTGAGTTGAGATTTTCGAGGTCTACTAAGTTATTTTTACATTATGCCTTGGTGTATAAATACTTGTAACTTAGCATCATCTTTGTTAACACAAAGGATTATAACTTACCTTTATCTAATAAATAAATAAAAGTGTTTAAATTATTAATAACAAATAATTATCAATTGTTAAATTAAACAAAATTACTAATTACTAATTTCAAATTGTCATACCAAATAACCTTTTAAAAATTTAAGTGTTTAAATTAGTTTTACATTATGAGTGCACCCTCGTAGAGACTAACAAATGATAAAACCCTCATAGCATATTACTTGAAATAAAATACAACATAGTATATCATCAATAGTTCTATTCATACGCTCGACTTTCTTATTTTTGTTGGGGAGTTGAGAGACAAAAAGATCTAATATGCATTGCATATTTTAAAAATAGGTAATCTAATGCTTGTTGTCATATTATTTTCTGTTATCACATTGCAGAGACTTAATTTGAAGAGCAAATAGTGTTTCCCTAAATGTAGAAAATTGAAGAAAAACAAGAAAGAACATCAGATATAGATTAAGAGGATATACTTAAGCATAATGATGAATAAAATCATCAAGCCATAAAACATAATATTTAAATCCTCCCAAAGATCATGTTTGAGATGCACAAACATCAAAATGAATCAACTAAGAAGGTTTATCAGTAACTAATAATGAATCTTTAAAGGGAAGTTTAACATGTTTTCCAACTAACAAGCATGACAAACTCAACTTACTAGACAAGTTATTTGTGGGAATTAAACCATGACTAATAAGCTGATCAAAAGATGAAGAGCTTGGATGACCAAGATGACAATGCCAAACTTGAGTAGAGACAAACATATTGAAGAATGTAGAGGATGGATTAGAACAACGTTGAAAAAAATATAAACAATCAACCCTATTGTAGTAAAGGAAGATGTTCTTTGTTTACAAGTCTTTAATAGAAAACTCGAAAAAAAATCAACATTATAATTATTATCCTTTATGAATTGATGAACAAAAACTACATTTTTGGAACTATTGGGGCAAGCCAGAACATTTCAAAGAGTAAAAGCATGATTATTAGAAACCAAGAACTTATTACCAACATGAGGAACAAGTAATAATAGACCATTGTCTTCTTGTATAGACTCAAAACTTGTATAACAAATAGAAGAAAACAAGTTATCCAAAATTTTGGAGACATGAACCATGGAGCCATAATCAAAAGCCCAAACAAGATTGCTAGAATTTATTGAACAATTCTCAAACATGTATTGTGTGTAAGGTGTTGCACTATCAACCATATATGGGATTGATTTAAGTAATTCAATTGGAAGTTGGTGAAGATCGAGATATCAAATGGTAGTCTCTAGCTTGATAACTTAGTTTATTACACCATTTACATACAATTTGAGATCACTACTAGAAAATCTTAAATTACTGATTGAAATACTATCGATGTGAAAGTTTTTATTTGTGAACTACTACTTTACTGACAAATAAAGTCTATACTAAGCAAAGTAGTAAAAGTAACATCAATTTATATTATTTGAAGTTCAGATGAGTACTTTGTTAGTAAATTAGTATTATAGAAATGTGAATCTTGTTGGTAATATTGAGTCCGTACAATTTTGCATGGCAGTTGTTAGAGTCAAAGTTGTCAATACCGTAGTGGCATACGTATTAGTTTTGCTATTAAAACAGTACGTACCTAGAACAGCACATAACAGATACTAGAATTTTTTGTGTACTATTTTGATTATCGCTATAAATATATATTTTTATAAATTAAATATCAAATTTTAAAATAATGATAAGAGAAACTAATGTTTAAAACCATCATATTTTTATAAATTGAAAACAAGTTTAAAATAACAAACTTTATAAAACATCTATAATTTTTTTTCTTTTTTCTTTTTTTTTTATAAAAACATTAAGATAGTATTAAAAAGTATAACAATGTTTTAAATTTAATATCATACAATTCGCAATACAAAATACTTTCACGAGAGAAGAAATCATGTCTTCTAAGTATAATAAGAATGCAAAAGACAAATCATAACATTACCAAGAAGAGAGAGTAGTAATCGATGAATACTGAGAACTAGAAATTTAAATCTGAAATTGTCAAAAGGGATTGAAAATATGTATTTTTAGTCCCCCAACTTCTAATATTGGCATATTTTTTATACCTTTACTTTAAGTTAAGTGACTAAAAATATGCATATTTAGATAAACTTAACGGAGTAACTGATAAAAGAAATAAAAAAAATTCATTTTTCATAGTTGATAAACTAAAAATTTACATAAAAAGTTAAAGAATAAAAATTATGTAAAACATTAAAGTTGATGACCAAAAATGGAATTTACTCTTTTTAAAATTGAATTGATTTGTATTAAGCTATTTTTGGTGTACTGATCGATATGCCGAAATATTAGCCGAAATACCGAAATTTGATTGATATGGGTGAAATTTGATTAGAATGGGCAAAATTTGACTGAAATGGAACTAAACCTTGTATCGTTTTGAATTAATGAATAAATTGATACGTACCTACCGTACCGGTTGATACGAAACGGAATCAACAATACTAGTTAGAGTTGCTTTTATTGATGAAACTCATCTAAGTTCACCTTGGAAATATGTGCATGTGGTCAATGATAATGTCTCAATATGCCAACAAAAAACTTGTTGGTAATTTGATTTTTCTATTACCTTGTCAATAATGGCCAGGTGATTGTACTTTTTAAAAAAATTTGGAAAATAGGCAATGGGCAAGGTGATAGTACTTATAAGGCAGCCTTTTAATGATTTGCAACATTTTACCAACAAGTACATCGTTGGTAGATCTATTGTTCACCATAGTTCTACAGAAGGTGGTTAACTTTTTCATTTTACTATCCTCCTCATCTTTGCTTAACCTCGCTTGCCCTCCCATTTTCATTTTCTTCTTTTAGCTGCATTTCCCTTTCCTCCCATTTTCTTCATCAAACAAGTCATGCAAAATCTAACTTTTTTTCTTTTTATAGTTTATAGATCAAGCAATGGTAAGTAAGGTTTAAGTAATATTATTATTTTTTATTTATTTTTGTGTTGAATCTAAATGTTTTATGTATATATTATATATATATATTTTTATAATTTTGACTATTAAATGTTATGATTAGATTATTTGATCTTAGGATTTGTTATTTTGCACTTTAACTTTCAACATGGATATGGTTGACAAATTTTGAGATACCAACAACTTGAATATTGTTGACAAATAAAAGGCACGACTCCAAAATTTTTGCTTTTTTCTACTTCCGTTGAAATTGACTTATACCTATGTAAATTATGTTGGTAAATATAATTCCAACTAGAAACTCATAGGCAAAATGCTTTATATATTCATGAATTTTTTTATGTTTATAATTACATTATATTCATATTATTTTTAGTTTATATCTTCTCAATTTCCTCCCTTTTTCTCTTCTATTCTTTGTTCCTAATTGTTTTAACTTGAATTTGAACAATTGATCAATTTATTTACAATTCTAATTTTTTTTTCTTGATGTTGTCTTGTAGGAAACATTATTGGTAGATAAACAATGGATAAATAAATTTTATTTATGTAATCTAAAATTTAATTTTAATTATATTATGATTATTTTTATTATTTGGTTGAATTTATATGTAAATATTAAATTAATTTATACTTGATCTTTTTTTAGGAAATACTCCTCTATAAATATCAAATTTTAAATTAAGGTAATTTTTAATTTTTTT